ATTAACAACCCCCAAGCGCCTGTGAGACCTATCCCCAGTTATCCCAAGTATGGATTGAAACTTCCAAACAGGAATGCAGACTGAGAAACCACCCGCCCATTGACAATGGCACTGGACCCAGAAGCATCCTTTGCCACCGCAAGCTTGTGAAGACGAGTGCCCTCATGCTGCTCCAACTGTTGCCTTCGCACCAAAGCCTAGGATCAACTCTGACTGACAACCCCAAGACTATTAAAGTCTTTATGCGAAGACAACTCCAAGTGACTTTGGAGACCATGCGACGTTACATGGTTGAAATTAATTGCACACTCTGATTAACCAAGTAACTTGTCTGCAGGCCCTAAACCTTGACCAAGTCGACCTCTTGGCGAAAGCAGCACTACATGCTGCACAGCCAAGTCCAGTTTGCTGAACTCTAAGCCAGCCAAAGTCACGGGACCAGTCATCCCAGTGTTTAAAGATGTGTTGGTTCCATTCCTTAGGCAAGGTATCAACCAAAGTTACAAATTCCCAAGAGTCTCACGCAATCTCTCAAACTAAGTTTCAAGATGTTTCTCCAAGGAAGTTTCTCAAGATGTTTTTTGAAGGAAGTTTCTCAAGATGTTTCTCCAAGCGGAAGTTTCTCAAGATGTTTCTCCAAGGAAGTTTCTCAAGATGTTTCTCCAAGCGGAAGTTTCGCAAAGTTTCTCAAAGGAAGTTTCAACAACCAATCAGTCGACAAGGCTCGGTCCACTCCTTACCAGAAAGCTTTGGCATCAGCGCCAACACCAAGTTCAGACCATAGCGGTCAAGCAATAGAAGTTCTGCAAGAAACGCAAGTTCACATTTTTTTGCTTGTCAATGCCTGTCATGTTTGAAGCGTTATTTTTTAAAATTATATGTATCTCCGATGAAAGTGAAAGTGCTGGCTGAAAAAATCTATTTTGTTCCATCTCTATTTGGGCAAAATGCCACTGCGGTCATGCGGCGACATGCGGCGTGCACCAAACACACCACCAAACATCACCCCCAAACATCACCCCATTTAGGGGATTGAACTGCACAAACCTTGGTCGCCAGGTGCCCCGACGGAGGGAGCATTGGCCGCCGCTGCCACTGCCACTGCTTGGCGGGTTGGCACCTATAAGATAATAATAGTAGTATACTACTTATCACATATTATATGAAATCACATATAATATGTGATAAGTAGCCGTGGTCCTTTCCTGAGAAGATCATTTTGGGGTGTCTGACGCTGAGCTGCATTCAGTTCGATTGAGTACTGAGTTTACATTATCTGCAACATGGCCAATAATAGTAAAAATAGGCTTTACATATTCGACTATGTTAACAGCAGGCCAGATATATATATATATATACCCACATATTTACTATTCTATCTAACTCATTATCTGTCTAATTACCTATCTGTCTACCTTTCTATCCATCCAAGTTTCTGCACAACTGATTCCAATTCAACTGCCCTGTGGCTTGCCAGCTGGTGAAGTAATTATATAATTAATTAGTTTTTAATATTAAGGTCTGGTGCTTAGTATTAGGGAGAACCTGCCTGGAGCTAGCTTGGCAGCAGAGAAGCAGCAGTTTTGGTAAGGACTTTAGAAAGGGAAATGGAAGGAGGTGAAGTAGTTTTTGGTATTAAGGTCTGGTGCTTAGTATTAGGGAAAACCTGCCTGGAGCTAGCCTGGCAGCACAGAAGCAGCAGTCTTAATTAGTAAGGACTTTAGAAAGGGAAATGCAAGGAGGTGAAGTAGTTTTTAGTATTAAGGTCTGGTGCTTAGTATTAGGGAGAACCTGCCTGGAGCTAGGCTGGCAGCACAGAAGCAGCAGTTTTAGTAAAGACTTTAGAAAGGGAAATGGAAGGAGGTGAAGTAGTTTTTAGTATTAAGGTCTGGTGCTTAGTATTAGGGAGAACCTGCCTGGAGCTAGGCTGGCAGCACAGAAGCAGCAGTTTTAGTAAAGACTTTAGAAAGGGAAATGGAAGGAGGTGAAGTAATTAGTTTTTAGTATTAAGGTCTGGTGCTTAGTATTAGGGAGAACCTGCCTGGAGCTAGCCTGGCAGCACAGAAGCAGAAGTTTTAGTAAAGTCTTTAGAAAGGGAAATGGAAGGAGGGGAAGTAATTAGTTTTTAGTATTAAGGTCTGGTGCTTAGTATTAGGGAGAACCTGCCTGGAGCTAGCCTGGCAGCACAGAAGCAGAAGTTTTAGTAAAGACTTTAGAAAGGGAAATGGAAGGAGGTGAAGTAGTTTTTAGTATTAAGGTCTGGTGCTTTGTATTAGGGAGAACCTGCCTGGAGCTAGCCTGGCAGCACAGAAGCAGCAGTTTTAGTAAGGACTTTAGAAAGGGAAATGGAAGGAGGTGAAGTAGTTTTTAGTATTAAGGTCTGGTGCTTAGTATTAGGGAGAACCTGCCTGGAGCTAGCCTGGCAGCACAGAAGCAGCAGTTTTAGTAAGGGCTTTAGAAAGGGAAATGGAAGGAGGTGAAGTAGTTTTTAATATTAAGGTCTGGTGCTTAGTATTAGGGAGAACCTGCCTGGAGCTAGCTTGGCAGCACAGAAGCAGCAGTTTTAGTAAGGACTTTAGAAAGGGAAATGGAAGGAGGTGAAGTAGTTTTTAGTATTAAGGTCTGGTGCTTAGTATTAGGGAGAACCTGCCTGGAGCTGGCCTGGCAGCACAGAAGCAGCAGTTTTAGTAAGGACTTTAGAAAGGGAAATGCAAGGAGATGAAGTAGTTTTTAGTATTAAGATCTGGTGCTTAGTATTAGGGAGAACCTGCCTGGAGCTAGCCTGGCAGCACAGAAGCAGCAGTTTTAGTAAGAACTTTAATTAGAAAGGTAAATGCAAGGAGATGAAGTAGTTTTTAATTAGTACTAAGGTCTGGTGCTTAGTATTGGGGGGACCTGCCTGTATTCTATCTATCTGTCTATCTAATTGTCTATCTAATTATCTATCTAATTATCTATCTATCTATCTATCCATCTAATTATCTAATTATCTATCTATCTATCTATCTAACTAATTATCTATCCATCTATCTATCCATCCATGAAACTGGCTGCACAACTGATTCCAATGCAACTGCTCTAATTAATTCAACTGTCTGTCTGCTGCCAAGCTGCTGCCTCTGCTGCCAGGGCTGCCAAGGCTGCTTGCTGAGCTGCCTGCACTTGCTGGTCTGGCTGCGCTCCCTCAGGCTGAGTGACTGGCTGCTGGGCAGCTGGCTCAGCAACTGCTTGGACTGGCTGCGCGGCTGCCATTACTGCCCGTCTGTTTGCCCTTACTACTGACTGGCTTTGTTCTGCCTCGCTTTTTTTTGCTTGAACCAGCACACAATGGAGGCTAGCTGTCTGTGGACCTGACCCGCTGGAAAAAAAACTGGACAATTATAAGGATCTTTATACAATGAATAATTAATCCCCTCCTCCTATATAATCCTTAAAAACATAAATTCAACATTGGTTCCCACTTTGGTTCCCTAATATTATGGATTCTAATTATCTGCCAAATAAATCTTATTGCCAGCATAATTATGAAAACCCTCATGATTACTAATTACATATACACATATAATTAATTGATTGTACATCTATTTACTTATTTGTAGCCATCATGAAGCCCTCATGAATAATTACTACATAATTATACACGAATGAATTGATTATATATATATATACACTTATAATTATATACATAATTATGCATCTAATTAATTAATTAATTAGAATTACTTAGAAATCTGTATAAAATGAATAATCCCTTCCTCCATTCTAATGCATGAATAACTAATTAACATGACTTCGATTTGGTTCCCTAATAATAAATACCCCCCTAATACTAAAAACTACCTGCCGTGTTTTGTATTAGGGGGGGGGGTTTAGTATTAGGAGGAAGGGATTATTTATATATATATATAAGTTCAACACTTCACTTCTTGGCCAATCAAGAATCAGCTGCTACAAAAAAATCATGGATTCCTAGCACTTGTTGCCCAGGATCTTGGGGTTGTCAAGTATCCCGCTGTGGCCACCTGAGCCCGCCAGGTGTGCTCGGCGTCGCATTCCCGTGGAGAAACTGATATGGCAGTGGGTCAAAACCCTGGTACCCCTGTAGTTCACATCAAAATAGCTGGGATTTATGGATGTGAATAACCCACTAAAAATGGTATTTTTTTAGGTATTGATCCATAGCCATATAGCAACCCCATTTGATGGGACGAAAATCAAATTCCGGACCACAGCTTTGGGTTTATCTTAGTTATCTTTAATGTGAATCGTCCCATTTTGGGGAGACCTAATTGTGCTCCATACATATCCATATTTATACCGTACCCATGAGTCATCAATCATTCTCCAATGTTCAAGAAAAATACTGTGGTTCTCTTAGGTCCTGAGTTTTCAGTCTGTCGCCACCATTCCATTATATTCCATGCCCATCCTCGTCAACCGAGTGCTGCAAGCCACGAGCAGACCTCTTGGGGAGAGCAGCTGCTGAATGACCTGCAAGATGGTGACCTGCTGAATGTGACTCTACAGGTTGATCAAAAAAATTGGATGACTAATGAGATATCCCCAAAATGGATCAAAATGGTATGATTAATGAAGGTATCTGAGGAATCCATTCATGATCATTTCCTTGTCTGAGGAGTCTTTGATATTGTTTGATGGATGTTTGGAGTTTGGATGGATATTTGAACGGACCTTTGATATCTTTGATGACATTTCAACTCAATTCTTTAAGCCTTTCCACGTATATTTCCAGACAACCGGGTCCAGGCCCAGGTCAATTGAGATCATCTAGAGATGGGAGGTCCTCCAACGTTCTTCTGATTTTTGATGGCTATATCCTCTTCACCGATGAATCGCATCACTTGCATCACTCAAATTCTTGGCCAAGAATGTCATGCTCTGTTCTTTCTCCAAATTGTTTATGTTTTCAGTGTCAGGATTTGCCTCCTTAATCCTCTTCATTCGATCATGCTATTTACCATGCAATATCCTTTTTCATTTCAGGAATGTTCAGGATCAAATGGCGCCTCCAGGCGCCATGCTGCGAAGTAGTCCTCAGTGACATCGCTCCAATGGGAGCGCTCGCGCTTCTCGTCTCTGTAGAGGGACAGGGTGTCCTGGCATCTCCGGTGAGGGGCAGGATGGGCAAAGTGCTCTGTTGACCCCAGAGCTGGATAGCAAGTTTCATGTACGAAACAAACATCAGGGACGTGTCACGCATATAAATGGCTTCTTCGCGGTGTGGTTTTCAATGGTTTTCCATGGTTTCCCTCCGTGCGCAATGTTTCAAGCTCTGCACCGCTCTCCCGCCCTGATATGCCTGAACCACGATGTCAAAGTATCCAGCATTGACAGCTGCCGAGCGCAAGAACTCCTGGGTGTCAAGGTGCACCACCTGATGACCAGGCCACAAGATGCCACGATGCTTTTGGAACACCACAGGCACAGTGAGTCAACTGTTTTTGAAATTTCAATGGAATTATTTAACATGAATTATGAATTCTTGAATGGGAGGTGCTTGGTATTGTCGGGTCAACCCCTCACATACATAGATGGATGGATGGATGGATAGGTAGGTAGGTAGGTAGGTAGATAGGTAGATAGGTAGATAGGTAGATAGATAGGCAGATAGGCACATAGGCAGATAGGCAAATAGGCAGATAGGTAGATAGGTAGATAGGTAGATAGGTAGGTAGGTAGGTAGGTAGGCAGGTAGGTAGGTAGATAGAGACAGACAGGCATGCGGGCAGGCAGACAGACAGATAGATAGAAAGGTAGATAGATAGAAAGATAGATAGGTAGATAGATAGATAATCTACGGACAGACAGATAGATAGAAAGATAGCTATATATAGATAGACAGAAAGAAAAATAAATATATAGATGGATGGATGGATAGATCGATAGATAGATGGATAGATAGATAGACAAATAGATAGATAGATAGACAGATAGGTAGATAGATAGATAGATAGATAGACATACATAAATAGATAGACAGACAGATAGATAGATAGCCAAACAGACAGATAGATCGAAATTAGATAGATAGATCATTATACATTGATGACCTTTTTCTTCTCAACCCCTTGGAGCATTCGCCCTGCCGAGTCACTCGAAGCCTGGGCTCAGGACGAGCCAACCAGCTGAGCGACGGCACGCAGCGCGCAGCAGCTTTGATGACACCTGGGGGTAGCAAAGCTCCGGGGCCGCGAGGCAAACGTTTAAAGCTGCTAAGATCTATTGAGATATGTTCAGCCAACATCCAAACCTGCAGCAATCTGCGACACAAATCACAAACAGGTGGGCAATTTCCCCGAAAATGACGACTGAAACTTTAACTCGACATCGTTTATTGCAGCTGGCTAACTATTGAACTATTGGTCACCTTTTCTGGCGCTCAGCATGCTCAGCAGCCCAGACTGCCCGCATCTCCTCCAAAGTGCCGAAGCCAAGGCGCCTGCGAACGATGTGTTCCCACCTCCAATCGATCCATAGCTTCACCGGCAAGGGCAGCACTGCCCCTTCACCAGACTTTCCACCACCTTTACGCACCTTGCCCACCAAAGTACTGGTTCGGTTGATGCCTGTGAAGCGATCTAAGGCTTCAATGATCTTGTGGTCATCAAACTTGCTGTGATTTTCAGACATGAAACTGTGACTACACTGCTCGGCCACCACTTTCGCAATATCTTTATCTCTTTTCAGTTCCATAAATTCCTGCAGCCTTTCCACAGTGGCCAACCGGTCTTCCAAAACATCGTCAAAGAAGAAAAGGCAAACGCCCGGGTCATGGCGATGTTCCCACCAATCACAGAGATCATTTAAGGCCCTATCGATACCTCCGGGTAAAATCCGCATCACAGCGAAGGTCTCAAGAGGCACCTCTGATTCCAAAATAGAAGCTGTGAAGTTCCAATCGCTCACAAGCACATCCTTCAAACTGCGGAAGCAATAAATCCGTTTCACCTTGATGTTTTCAAATGCCCTGCACTTCAAATGTGATTTGTAGATTCGTGGCTGTGCCAGCTGTTCCTGATTGATGCAGTTGCTTGGCAGTAACGAGGCAGGCCCTCCCTCCAGCATAGGAATTACGTCCATTTGATCCTCGAAGTCGTCATCGTGGCCCCAAGCACCAGCCACCCGCAACTGATGAGCTGCCTGCAACAGCATGGTGGTGCCACTTTTGGCTGGGACAGCCACAACGACATCATCAGCCCTTGGCTGCCACTGTTTTTTCAATTCTTCAGCTGTCAGTGTCTGAATGTGCCGCTGTACTGGCCACAACTTCCAGAAAATCTGCAACCTCCAGGGGATGGTTCTCAAACATTCGCCGGGCCCCAGGCACCACATGGCCAGAAAACCTGAGTGTTCCTGGGGCGTTACAAACCGAGCCTTCATCGCAAGCGCGGCTGCGCCCACTGCTGGGGCAGCAAAGACCAAACGCTGAGCCACAGACATTGCTGGGAAAACCAAAGGATGCTGCAGCTTTGCCAAGAAAGATGGGGATACCCTATTGGGAGTGTGGCCTTGAAGTGTTGCTGTACGCTGCCGCATGCTGCCGCCGTGTGCCTTTTGCCTCTACTGATACCATCGTGGTTTTATGGCCGGACGAAACTGATGTCATTTAGATAATAATCATATATATATATAACCAATATTATATATGTAACATATGTCATTTGATTTGTGATTCTAGGGGAAATAATACCGGAGAAAATCAGCATCAACGGGATATTGGATTTCCATTTCCATTATGTCGAGACAATCCAATATGGGATGAGACTACTGGGCAACAGAAAAGGAAGCTCTACAGCTCCAAACAATTGATGTCCCAGGTGACAATGTTCCAGATAAACCAGAATGATTTAAATGGCAACACTATGCAACACTGACATGTCTTCCATTGACATCTTATTCCAAGAGTCCGCACTACACTACATGTGCGAAATGCCTGACTTTACTGATGTAATCACGCAGGAGCCCTGCTTTGGACTGAACACATTTGCTGACGCAAGCTTCGGCTGAGCCGCGGCTGCTTGCATGAGCAAAAAGGTGCAGCCAAGTTCAAAGCAAACCGAACAGGAATTTTATGAGATTGTAGATCTGGAACTATACTGTAGTCTTTACGGGTTCAAACCCTGAACATCTTGCTGCATAAAAGGGCTTCTGAAGCTAACATGCAGGGTTCATCATCATCATCATCATCATCAACCACCACCATCACCATCATCACCATCACCATCATCACCATCACCACCATCACCACCATCACCACCACCACCATCACCATCACCATCATCAACACGCTACCTATTTTGAACTACCCAGAGCAATCTAAAGGGCGGTGGTCACCACTGCATCGTTGTTGCCAAGGTGCTTTTCATCTCACTAACCCACAGCACTTCTTCCACATCGCTGCTCTGAAGGAACGAGTTGATCACTCCACCTAGGCACGGGTATAACTTGGGATGGAAACCCACCAGGGTGCTGGTTCATGGAAATTTGGATGCAGGGACCCCCGGGTTTAAAAAAAACAGGATGGCCAACTCAATGCAAAACTATGGTGCTGGGAACCTCCCAAACCGATAAAGTAAGTAGACATCGACATGGGAATAGCTGGCCCAGGAGTTTCCCCAATGGCTTCGGCCAATGTGCCTTTACTATACAAAAAACCCAGGTACCCTAGGGTCCCTAGGTAGGGGCAAGTAAAATAGCGCTGCAACCCCCATCAACAAATGATCATTCTCCCAAAGCTATCAGCCGTTGATGAAGCCATCAGTAAACCATCCCAATTCCACCCGAAATGGGTGTTATAAATAAACCTCCAAATTTTCAAAATTGGTGATTCATGATTGTCAGACATCATAATCGACAAACACATTTTTTTTCACATGGGTCATGTCTTATCATGTACTATTACTGTGTTATTCCCATGTTTTCCCAGTTATGCTCTAAGCGTAAGCCCCGGACTCACTAACCAGGGGTACCCTCTGGTAATTTAACATGGCTATTGAAAATGGCCATAGAAATAGTTGATTTGCCCATTAAATATGGTGGATCTTTCATAGTTATCTTAGTTTACCAAACCCATAGGATCCATGTGTATGGTATATATATATATATATATATGCTAACATAAAGGGGGTATATTAATGGGAACCATGTTACCATATATGGCAGCACCATGGATCCTATGGGATATTTTGTACCCCTGGTGAACATCAAAATAGCTGGTAAATGGATGTTCATCCCCCTAAAAATGGTATCTATAGGTATTGATCCATAGCCATGTTAGTTTACCAAAAGGTACCTTTGCCAAGGTGCCACCGGAGACTCCGCCCAGCACCAGGATGTGACGGGCGTTGGCTCCAAGGGCGGTCAGACTGGGCAGTGCTAAGGCTTCCTGGGACGTGGATCCACCCTTGAAACACGGGGGATAAATAGGGAGCCAACAACGGAACTCATGGTGAGTTAACCAACAAAAATGGGGATTTAACATGATTTAACCACCAAACATGGTGAAACATTGGGAGTTCAGCTACAGATCTTAGGATTGCTCCCGTGGTGAAGCGGGGGAAACTGGAAAACAGATGTAAATCTATTTCCACCCCCTTGTTCCGATTCAGCTATCTAGGTGGCAGCAACCATGCTCACGTGGTTGTTCAAGCAAACGCTTGATCTGAAGAATCCAGGCAAAGCACTCAAGCCACTTGAGACCACAAGACTAAAACATCAGGCAGGAAGAAACATGTAGAATTGGAAAAGGGCTGCAAAATGAAAAGCACACTGATACAAGCCCTGCAATTGATACAAGGGTGTGAGATTTCTAACTACAAGTAGGCGTGCCAGGAAACAACCTTCAGAACCAGTGGGTGCCAGAGACCACAACAACGATTTCAATTTCACCTCCCCAGCGACAGGTCTCCCCTGCGCACCATGCCATGTGTCAAAGTCATAGCGCCACCAGTGCACATTCCGCTCCAAGCCGCAAGCAGTGAAGAAACGCCAGCCAAGCTCGGAGGTACCTGAGGTGGATGAGCAACATTTGTCATCATTCCAGCCATGCTTTTATCTGCTATGTACACACACACACGCACACACACACATATATATATATATATATATACATAATTATATATAATTATATATATATATGATCATTTATGTTTGTATATATGCATGCATGCATACATGTATGTACATGTATATAGGTAGTATTCAGCATGCCCAATTCCTTAGTCACAATTTCCAACATGAGCAAACTAAAATGAGCAAAGTGGTCCACTTGAAGCAGCAATACCAACTGCCTGACGATTTCAAGAATGCGCAAAACTGTTGGTGTTGGCCCCTCATCTTGAGACTGACTACAATTACAGCATACAATGGCAAACCTGAGGCACCCTGAAAAACATAGCACCAGAAGTACACATTCCATTTAACTAGCAGCTTAGCAAAAAAACATCGTCCAAACATAACTGTGGTATTTACTAATCATTTTTGTGGCCAGCAAAGGATTACCCTCCCGCACTTTGAAGCAGCAATGGAAGTTCACAGTGATTCCCCATTTAATCTATGTTAATATAACGTGTTCCTTGTTTTTTACCCCATTTCACCCCAGAAGTTACCCTAAATAACACTGCAGGGTACAGTGGATACCACCGCTTGCGGCGCACCAATCCACCTCACTGCTGCGCCTTGCGGCGTGCTGCAGCAAAGCCCCTAGCCATCCGGCCATGCGTCGCCTGCGCGGACGATCCAACAAGACCCGGGGGAGTACAGATGTGGATCTTCCAATGGCCGAAATGGACATTATATAGCGGTATAGTGGATAAAACCCTAACCCCCCCCCAAAAAAAATGGATATGCAATAGGGCCTATTCAATAGGGCTGACTACAAGATAAGCCACTTGAGATAATCACCACCAACAAGCCAAGTTGACATAACTTCAAACCTACTGTACGCACGATCGAAACGGCACTCTCGATGCAACACGTGATGTCCAGTACGCAGCGCCTCACTGCGTGCGAATTTGTGAGGCCATGGCGCTGGATAGGAATCCCGGCTGTCAAGTTCGGGCGGCCGTCCTGAGGGATATAGGGATTCTCATCTTCCCGGTTGAAATTGTTGAAATTGCCTACTTTGGAGTACAAGAAATCCAGAATAAAAAAACCAAACTCAGCTCACTTCGACACTCAGTTCCTGAGCTTGCGCCAGCAGCACGGACATCTGAAGCACATGCTTCGGCCCCCCCAATGGCCAGCTGTGACTGTTTCATCTTTGAAATATAGCAACACAAGTGTAAAAATAAGATAATGCACGCACTCATGTGTATAACACACATGCATAATACATGTCATGTACGTGCATGCGAATTGGAGTATATTCATGTATTATTCATGTATTATTCATGTATTATTCATGTATTATTCATGTATTATTCATGTATTATTCATGTATTATTCATGTAATTCTATACCTTGTAGGAATACATGCAAATCCTACAAAATCATACAAAATCTGACGTGTTTCCTATAAACATTAGGAACCACTGAGATCCTCGATGATCCTCGACGATCCTAATCCGGGATTCTCACCATCTCGGTTGAGGCGCAGCATCTTTAGCTGCCCTCCAGCACAAGAAATCCAAACCTGCAGGGTCAGTGGAAATTGAGATGGTTTCTTACTAGGTATTAGCACAGTCTGTATATTTATACTTACTACATATTGAGATAGTATTGATATATCTAAATATACTGTACTAATATGTGCATATATGTGCTATTGCTCATAATGATGTACTAATATGTATATACTAATGATATTTGTTGACATGGAATGGGCGAGTGCCATTTTCAAGATATGATGATATGACAAAAACCGTTCATCAAATATACGGGTGTCCTGCGGATTTTCCATCCAATTCCAGCGACCAGCACCTGACCACGGAACTTTCGGGCAAATATATACAATAAGAGTATCATAATAAAGTATCTAAAATTAATAAGAACAATAAAAATAATTCTAATATATAAAGCTATATATATATATATATACCATTATATACCTATCATTATATCCTTCCCAAACATATTTCCCGATCACACAACTAGTGCAGTCCGACATTTCCCTGCACAGGTGGGAATCCCGTCCTTGCGCCACAGCACAGCAGAACAAATGGCTGGACCTGGCTGAGATGGATGCGATGACCCAAAAAACTGACATTTAAAGGTTCTGAAAGGGGGCAACTGATGATACACCATGATGAACCATGATGAACTATGATGAACCATGATCAACTATGATGAACCATGATCAACCATGATCAACTATGATGAACCATGATGAACCATAATGAACCATGATGAACCATGATGAACCATAATGAACCATGATAAACCATGATGAACCATGATGAACCATGATGAACCATGATGAACCATGATAAACCGGGCTAAACCATGATGAACCATGATGAATCATGATAAACCATGATGAACCATGATCAACTATGATGAACCATGATGAATCATGATGAACCATCAAGAACCATGATGAACCATGATGAACCATGATGAACCATGATGAACCATGATGAACCATGATGAACCATTATGAACCACGATGAACCATGATGAACCATGATGAACCAGGCTAAACCATGATAAACCATGATGAACCATGATGAACCATGATGAACCATGATGAACCGGGCTAAACCATGATGAACCATGATAAACCATGGTAAACCATGATAAACCATGATGAACCATGATGAACCATGATGAACCATGATGAACCATGATGAACCGGGCTAAACCATGATGAACCATGATAAACCATGATAAACCATGATGAACCATGATGAACCATGATGAACCATGATGAACCGGGCTAAACCATGATGAACCATGATAAACCATGGTAAACCATGATGAACCATGATGAACCATGATGAACCATGATGAGCCATGATGAACCACGATGAACCATGATGAACCATGATAAACAACGATGAACCATGATGAACCATGATGAACCAGGCTAAACCATGATGAACCATGATGAACCATGATGAACCATGATAAACCATGATAAACCATGATGAACCATGATGAACCATGATGAACCATGATGAACCATGATGAACCGGGCTAAACCATGATGAACCATGATAAACCATGGTAAACCATGATGAACCATGATGAACCATGATGAACCATTATGAACCACGATGAACCATGATGAACCATGATAAACAACGATGAACCATGATGAACCATGATGAACCAGGCTAAACCATGATGAACCATGATGAACCATGATGAACCATTATGAACCACGATGAACCATGATGAACCATGATAAACAACGATGAACCATGATGAACCATGATGAACCAGGCTAAACCATGATGAACCATGATGAACCATGATGAACCATGATGAATGATGAAGCATGATGAAGCATGGTGAAGCAACTTGCTCATTTTCCAGCAAATGTGGAATTACCGAAGGGTAGCTGGAAAACCTAGACATATCATGACATATCATAGACGTAGAGAAATCACTTTGCACAATTCCCCCGGTTCCAGCCCCAGACATGATGGATCCCCTTGTGCATAGCTCACAGGTGGCGTGGGCTGACGCCTGCGCTGGCGAAATTTCATTGGCCCAGGTAGTTGTTTTTTCCTGAGAATTGGGTTCCCCAAACTCCATTCGTGCATCATGGTTCATCATGTTTCCTATCAACATGACCTGTTTGGGAGTAGGGGTCATTCAGTCATCCCTTCATTGAAAAAAGGGGAATGGCCCACCAAACAACTGAACTGATCCATTACAGCTTTTAATAACAATTTGGGACTACCCTCTGGTAAATTAACATAGACCCTGGCAGATAGGGGTTGAAAGACTAGTCTCCATTAAAAATTGGCTATTTTCAGGGTCTATGTTTATTTACCAGAGGGTAATTGGGAGTATACCTCATTTTTCACACACGCATTCATATTGGGCCGACCACTTCAACGGTAGGGGCCCTGTCTTCACAGCGGCCGAGTGCCGCAGCCGGGTGACATGTCCCACAATGCCACATCGGATGACTCGTAGGTGGCAAGGAGAAAGCCAGGCCCTTGACATGGCTTTGTGGCTGGGAATGGGGGATTTTTTGTGGGAAATCCATGGAAATCCCCTAGGCCCTATGGCCCTATGAAACGGGAGCATCATCTATACATGGGGGTTTTCCATTGCCATGGTACTCAAAGGGTAATCATCAAGTGTGAATCTTAAATGAACACACAGCACAAAGCGATGAACCAGAACAAATATATGTTTTCATTTTCATAAACCAAGCGAATTATTCCCAGCACATGACAGGAATCCAGAAGAAGCTCGCCCACTCCAAGAATCCCATAAGGTTAACCCGGGATTCAAAAACAACCAGCTTATTAGTAGGGGTGATGCCAATTTGACCAATTGCAATAATAATTGGTCACTATTTTCTGCATACTGTATTCTCATGTATTCTCTCATTTTTCTCTTCACATTTCTCCGATTTTCTCCGGGTCAGCTGGGTTGCAATTCTGAAGCAGCTGGCATAAGTTGCAAGCTTTGTGCAACATAACTTGTACAACGCAACGTCTGGTTGGTGATTTCAACCATTTTCAAACCATCTGAAATATCAGGTGGATCAAGGAAAGAAAACAGCAATATACAATAGTTTATGACAGTTTTACGAATCATTGGAATAATCAATAACAATTACACCTGTATTCAATTGGGGTTTCTTCCCACAAAAACGTAGAACATCAAACCATCAACCAGCTGTGCTGTGGAAAACGATGGTACTTTCCTGCACCCGGCACGTCCAAATGGCAGTGGCACAGGAGAGAACCGGAAGCAAAACGATGACGAGGGCCACAGCGACATGAGAACCACCTAATCGTTCCAAGTCCAATCTTGAACTCATGATTCCACCCCTTAATATTAAACACCCAGCATTGTATGATTATTATATTGATTTGTATGGTCCCAGTTTCATCATGTGTTTCATCCCCATCCACCATGGTTTCGTTTAGGGATTCTGTTCATCCAGAATTTCTCACCATTTAGCCACCCGCCGAGGGAGACTCATCGTAGCTTCCCATGCTCTGGAGCGATTGCGCGTGAGGCGGCGGTGGTGGCTTCTCGGCACGGAGAGCGTCCACCACTTGTGCGTTACATCCAAAAGTGACCACCAATGTGACCAGTAAGGCTGCTGAGTGCCAGCCACGCATTAACCTCGGCGGTTTGGTGGACAGTTGAGCAAAAAGGGTGAGGGGGAAGCCAGAATCTTAAATCTCTTACGGGGTCTCCATTTTTGACGTGACCCCTCATCCACTATAGCTTCCATAGATTCCACAGTAGTCTGCGACATGTGTTTGCGCTCGCAGGAGTGCTCCCTCTTGCGTGGAACAAGAGGGAACCCCCTCCCCAGTGTGCGGATGGAGTACGAAAGACCGCCTCCTGTGGAAACAAAAACAAAAACTATCGAAAAATATACCAAAAATATGTTTCTGAAAGTGTGTTGACATGTTTGGCGCAACCTCCATACTTTTTTTACAGCATTACACCCCTCTTTTTTTTCGAAACAATATGAAACAATCATTTTATGTGAAACATCCCCAGTGGCGGTCAAAGTGAGGATTCTTAAGACCCTAAACTTGGTAGCAACACTGAGTTCGGGTCAACAATGAATCCCTT